TGCTACACATCTGCAAGTACTGGCAAAGAAGCTTTGGACAGCCACTTAAAACAGAATCATGGAATGGCTTGCTCCCGGGCTCCTATTCTTAGAGGTTCGTACAACTAAGTTGCTCTGGACTTCTCTTTGTACATCTTTGTATTTGCAGCGCTCCTCCAACAGCGTCGCAAAACGTATTTCATATATGGGCAGGTTTACTGCGTGTGCCAAGATTTTGACCGCAGGACAACCCGAAAATAGCGTTGAGGATGGTTTTTGCCTGGTCCACCGGTGACCAGATCTGGTGTGTTCCGGTGCGGAACGGATTGGCCACTCGTTGGGGAATGAATTCCCCCAGACCTGACCACAGGCATCACTTTTTGGCCTTCCGCGTGGCGTAAACTCTCGCGGTCTCCTCAGCCTCTCACCGTTGTGTGCTTCGCGAGATAATAGTCTAAGACCAAAATCCTGGAGAACAGCTACCCCCCAAGTCACCAGATCGGTGTATCCAAAGGTTGATCAGTCCGTTTATGGGTTACGCATGAAGATGTGTTCCACCGTCCGCGTATCCGCGGCAACAAGCGGTCCGCGTTTCATCCCGGCTCAACTCGCTCAGGTCACCACCTTCGCCGCTCCACTTCAGGGGAATTCATGCCCCTGCGGTAGAAAGAGATTCGGAAGTGCCCACAGATATGAAAGAAGCCGTGACCGATAGAGTTTAGGCCGGAGAGAGGAGCCTGTGTTTCCCCGTTGAGGGGGATGGATGAATGATCCATATTGGTCAAACTTAGTAAACCGAACAGAACCAGAGTGATTCAAAACATGGAACTGAGGAGCGGATGCTGAACCATTCCAGCTCACTGGAGAGCTTTCGACGGGTGTTTCCTGGGGGCAGACTTCATTGTTGGATGGTGCAGATTGGAACAGTGCTTTTCTATTTACCTCATGTACTGTAAAAGAGCAGCCCCTGAAGAAACATCAATCAAGAAACAAAACTGGTCCACGGTCCAAAGTGAATTAACAGCTTTGGGGTGGCGTTGCCCTTCCACGTTGCGGACCTCTGCGGATGTAAAACGGTTTCAGATGCAGAAGTGGAACCGCATGTGTGTTTTGTTTGCCGGCGCTTCCGACCCAAACAGTTCGTTGAGTCGAACACCGTGCCGGTGAGAGGAAGACCGTGCAAGCTGGAACACCTGAGGAGAGACAGGAAGACCAGTGGTGAGACTTAGGAGACTTAGTCACTAAGTCACTCGTTCCGTCCGTAGCAAGCGCATTGGTTGAACACACATCTCAGTACGTTGGGTGAGTCACAGGATCGTAAAATCAGAACATGTCCCAGCGGAGTGGATCCAGACGGAGTAGCCAATAGCAGCACTCCACCTAAGAGGTTGGCATCGATGCTCCGGCTGAAAGAGGGTCAAGTCTATTATTGGGATTGAGCTAAGGAGCTTTCCTGTCAAACAGGGAGACAAGTAGCTATACAGGGAGCTTGCCAGATTATCCCAGCATATCCCAGCCAAAGTTCTGGTCTCGTGTGGGACAAGATGCTCTTTCAGTTCAGGAGGTCCCTGTGAGGATTGCCGACAAAAGGCCGTCGAAGCCAGCCACGATGAGCCATGACAGTGGACTCGTTTCTTGAGGGCTGCGTGCTCCGTGACGCAAAGAGTGCAACTGTACAGTAGTGAACCAAATATATATATATATACCTATATATATATATGTGGTACACCCCCCAAAAACCTACTTTTTGGACGATTGATGATAACCGATCAGTCAATTGAAAGGGGGGTACCATGTATATATATATATTCATTTATTTATTTTTCTGTAATGTTTTATTGCATGATTACTGATTACTCTTGAGTCGCTGACTGCACGTTGGTTTCAGGAAAGTACGCGTACAACGCGTACAGTGCTCAATTGCACAGAACCAAGAACCAAGATTGCACAGAAATGAATCTTGGTTTGGGGTGTGTCCTTTGAGACCCAATTCATGCAACTTGTGTAATGTATCCTGACAAGGGTTGTGTGCAATCTTGGTTCTTGGTTTCTTGGTTTGAGCAATGTATGCGTACAAATGCGCGTACTTTGCTGAAACCAACGTGCAGTCAGCGTCTCAAGAGTCATCATGCAATAAGACATGACACACATATATCAAAATATGACATGACTGACGTAGCAATATTGAGTGAATGTAGGACTATAGTCCCGTCAGGTTTTGTTGGTAAAAACATTGATACAGCAAAACTGATAGAGATTGACAGGACTAAACCCTTTACATGGGCATTTACACAGATTAAATTCACACCGGTTTTTAACGAGTTTGATATATAGTTGGAAACATTACAGTGATGACATTGACATTAGCAAATTATCTAGCTTAACATTGTATACGGTTGAAGTAAAGGCATCAAATGATTTTTTCAATAAGAGGTATGACTGTATAATTTTATAGTTGGAAAGTGTTTGAGAAAACTATTGGAAGCAAACAATGAAATAAAGATAATTTGTTATAAAGCTCCTTCAATCATTCATAAGGTCAATTATGACCAGATTGTTAATGAACTATGGGAAACCGATCTTGCCAAAGATGACAAACACATAGGAAACATCACCGTTAGAACGCTAGAAAAATCACACAACACCGCACAGAAGAGTTACTGCTTGAACACTTTGAGGGAGGCATGCCATTGCCAGAGGAGTTTGGAGGAAGGATTTATGCATTTATGCAATACAACAAGAAATAGCAAAAAAGAAGACACAAGCATGGGCAATACCTACATTTTAAACATCACCAGCAGAAATAAACTAGTCAGTGGGTTTAGATATATAAAAGAGTTGCTACTTCACTATCATAATTTTTCAATGTATGAATCATGTAATACAGTGGTAGAAAATGCTATTACGGTCTATTAAGTGAAGAGTGATGCCTTCACGATCCATGAATCAAGACGGTTTAACTAGAGTGATGGGCAAACCAAATCATTTCATAAAATCCTATCAGACTGTAATATTGAACTTTGAAGAAGGCATAGGCAACTGGAGACTGACAAACAAATCAACCCATTGTCCAACCAATAAATACATATTTAGGTATTAGATATAATGACTGCATTAAACTTCCAAAAATAGAAAATGAACCAATAGAGGTGGTGGATGACGCTGGTGGATGAATGGGACACCCCCGCAATATGTAAGCAAATTGAAGAACAAAACCCATGCATGATCAGAGCAACATTTGCTGGATCGGGCAAGAATTACTTACCTAGGTCAGTAATTTAAGAAGATACATAAAAATGTTTTGTTTGTAGTGCCTCACAACCGGTTAAGTCACGAAACAGAAGGCCCCGCAACAACCTATAACATGTATTTTCTAGAATTCCAGTTCATGAGGGGGATGAACTACCAGAGTTTGATCATAGCAATGTTCATGTCATCTTCTTTGATCAAATCTATATGACCAATCTTTATATCTATTGTAAGGTTTTAAACTTTACTGAACAAACATAAGGACAATCAATTCATCATAGGCGCCGGTGATACAAAGCAGTTAGAACCAATCAATGAAATACCTACACTCAGTCAAAGACCACAAAATGGTCAAAATTATGCTGTTCAATGTGTCCTCTGAATCTCACCAAACCATTGCAAATACCTGTGAAATTGTCCAAAAGGTAGTTTCTTGGGGGGGGTTGCATATATGTCTGGAGTGTGGGAAGAGACGAAGACAGCAAGCTTAGCAAATTAGTTTGAGCAAGCAGCTGGTGCAGACTCAGGATGCACAAGAAGTCTCCTGCGACCCGTCTGTTTGTTGACATCTCGCCTGTGTTCAATCTAGCGTTCAGAGGGAACACTGCATTCTGTCGCGCACACACGCACACATTGATTGAAAAGCAATTGATACTGTATTAGGGTAACCAGGTATGGTGCATTGTGGCTGGCGCTTGAGCATTCCCAGGGCTCAGAGAAATAATATGTCAGTGGCCAGCGGTTATGCTCGCGACTTGCTCGTGGTGAAGTTCTGAGATGAAATGATGGCGGCCAGTTTTATCGTCCAAGTTTGGCAGTGCTTGCCTCACGAAGTTGGCAGTTCTGGCCTCACAACATCGCAGCGACTCGAGCAAGGCACTAGCGACGGGTTTCACCACTCGGTAGTCGGTTCCTGACACGGGAGCCAGTCAAAACGTTGCAGGTCACTGGGTCGTCCGGCGTGTCCGCCGACCAGTCTTCCACCGAAGACAACGTGGGTTCTTTGGGTGAAACCATGTGAAACCTCATATTTTTAATGACAGGGTCCAGGCTGGCTTTAAGGTTGAATTGGAGAAGCAGACCCCAAAACGCCATATGCATGCTTGTTGTCGTTCGACTCTAGACGGCCTTTGTTCCTGATTCTGGTTGAGCGCTAATTGCAGCGACAGTTCGGAAGCCCAGCTCACGATAAATACTGAACAGCCAACGTAGTGAAGACTTTTGACACGAACACATCATCCAGTGGAGCTTGGGTGAGTTGTTGTTGTTGTTGTTGTTGTTGTCGTTGTCGTTGTCGTTGTGGTTGTGGTTGTGGTTGTGGTTGTGGTTGTTGTTGTTGTTGTTTCTTTTTCCCATCATTCATCCTGTGGAAGACGGACGCGTTGGAAGACTTGTCGCTTGCCCCGCAAGGGTCGGTCGTCTAGGAGAGAATTGGCATACTCCAGTTACATAGCCCTGAACTCTTGGAAAATGAGCCTCTTCGATTGAGTAAAGTGTAGATGTTCCGTAGAAGCCACAACAGTTGCAGTTTGCAAAATCCAATTTGGTGAATGCCAACTCTCTCAGAGGCCACAGATGTGAGGAAAATGGAAGAAAGAGTGCCTGCCCAAATGCTCAAAGATTTGTTTAAGCTGGAGATTTGCAACAGATCCTGCACACTTGGAGAAGAAGGAGCACAGTTATTCAGGCGTTGAGTCTAGTGATCTAACAATGGCCCCTATATTTTGGGGTGCCACAGAAGCCAATCTCCGCTCCGAGCCCTTCATTGCCAGGGGAGCGTAGCATACCGAGACCGTTTGGTGGCCTGGGCATCGCAGGACGCTCCCGATGCTGCGGGAGAGATGAAGTAGATGAGGTTTTGCACGCGGCGGTTTGCAGCCAAAGCACAGAGTTCTTGTCAAGTTGAGTTCGTTTACAGGCATCCAAGCGAAGCCATGACAAACATTTGGAATGTCACCCCTGGACTTCCTGAACTGCTTGGTGTTAGCTCCAGGAAGGCCAGGGTCAAGAAGGCCCAGGCTTCCAAGAGGCCATTTCACAGGCTTTGCCGGGAGAGCTAGCGGGGGCTGTCGAACAGGAGGAGCCAGCATTGTAGCAAGGGCTGGTTGGGCTCAGTCTACCCTTCAAGCCACTTCCATGCACCCCATCTAAGTACAGACGCTGGGCTTTCATCCAGGAGCGGTTTTATATGAAGGCTTTGAAGGCCAAATTACCCGGCGAGAAACCAGGTTACTTATACTTCTTTGATATTCTTGGATTGATGATTTGCCAAACGCCGACGCGGCATTGCTGGCCACTGAGCCTTGCGGTTTTGAGCCACCAGGCCATGAAGGTCAGCAGCGCATCAGTTGCTGGGCAGCCAGGACAAGATCCTTCAGGCCGTCACCCATCGACTGGCAGTGTCCCGAAAATGAATTAGTGAGAAATCATACATTTTAGGCATCAGATAAATTCTGAACTTCAAGTCCCTACTGTCCACGTCCAAAGTTAGGGAGGAGGTGCAGAGAGACTTCCTGATACTACACACATTGATTGAAGTAAGTGCCCTCTTCAATGCTGCATGTGAAACAAAGTGTTTTTTTCTCATTTGCCAGGTGAGGGTTGTGAATGTTGTTAGATGTTGTCAGAGCTGTCCTCGTCCTCCTCCTCCTCCCTCCTCCCTCCTCCCTCCTCCCTCCTCCCTCCTCCCTCCTCCCTCCTCCCTCCTCCCTCCTCCCTCCTCCCTCC